GTATGTGTACTATCTAAAATTTTTTGTCTTAACCTCTGCGAATTCGTGCACGGGGCTGCGAAACCTTTTTTGTGGCTACGAAACGTTACGCTAATATGTAAATCATAGTCGTATAACATTTGATTGACCGTCCAATCAAATTTTATGTTCGCTATGCTGGTATATCCATCTATATTAGAAACTCCTCTATTATTAACAGGAGGGTTCCAAAATACATATTGAGTTGGGATGTTGACCTGATAATTGGCAAGACCTAGTCCTGTGCAAGCAGTAGCCAATCCAGTATAATAATTAAGAGTTCCAAAGTTCCACTATAAAAAATTTGGTAAGATTATATTATAGATTATATACAGTTGTCACTATCTAATCCGAACCTTAATAAACTCTCTCTAATCCGAACTTAAAGCTCTAAAACATTTGTAAATTTTATTATAAAGTTTAGACTAGCATATAATACCTCTTTGAGAACTGAACTTCTTAACCAATTTTGCTTATAAGAACGGACGGTTCGGAATAGACAGAGTTGACTGTATATTTAAAATTTGATTGCAAGAACATCAATGGCATGCTAACATTACCTCTTCGTAATATACTCCTGGCTGTCCTGGTACTGCTATGTGTGTTCCTGCTGTTGGTGCTGCCTGACGCGTCCAAAGTCTGGCCTAAGATTAGAAATAAAAAAAATTTAAAATTTCGAAATCAAATAGGCTGTATAACACGTACGATCATACATCGATCCAATTGTCCGTTTGCATTTCGTGTAGCTCTTGAACTGTAAATTTTAACTCCGAATACGCATCTTACGTATTGCTGTTGCATCCAACAACTACACTTTGCATTCCAACCATTCCGACCCCCATAATTTTGTGATACTGCAATTTCACACATGATTCTTGCGTGGGGTCTTCCCTATACAGTATAATTAATTTAAGACTAGGGAAATTAGGAACAAAATCTGATACGACAGAACCAACCGATTTGTCAACTGGGGAAATTTCAAGGTGTCGAGAAGGCCTTGGAGCGGTTCTACGACGAAAACTTAGTCTACTTTGTGGTGGAGTTGGAATTGGAGGTTTCGGAATGGTTGGAATGCAAAGTGTAGTTGTTGGATGCAACAGCAATACGTAAGATGCG